CTATAGCAACAATCTCTCTCTAAAAAAAAAAAAAAAAAGAAAGAAAAAAGAAATGAATTGCCTTAAAAAATAACCAAGCATGTCCCCCCCCCAAAAAAAAAAGTAGAAAAATATCACTTGACCAGGAAAAAGGTCATTCAACTGGAAAGAGATCCAGAAATAATGAAATCAGTACCTAAGAATATTAAAACAGCTATGGTAAACATACATGGCGATTTAAAGGAAAATATGATTGTAATAAGAAGAAAAATGGAAGATACAATGTGAGACAAAGTGGATCTTGTAGAGGTGAAACATATGGTATCTGAAGAGGAAAAGATACTGGATGTAATAATACAGATTAGACAAGATGGAAGATAATATAACTGATCTAAGCACTACTATTAAGAAGCAGAGACAGAGCGGACACCAAAGGAGCCAATTCCATGATAGCTAGCCATTCCGCCATCTGCTGGTCCCCCTTCACTAAGATACCTGCAATCAGACCGGCATGTTCCCCCAGTTTTTGTAGTAAGCTTTCCTGGCAGCCGTCACCACTGCCTCCTTGCACATGCAAAGCATATCTAGCCCACAACTACTCTTTTTAAAAAAGTTTACTTATTTATTTCTTCCATGAGAGAGAGAAAACCAGAGGGAAATGGACAGAGAAAAATTAAAAAGAGAGGCACAGAGAGACAGACAGAGACAGAGACCAGGTACCCCTAGTAGTCTTCATGCGCTGATCCCCCCCACCCACCCAGTCTCTGCCAGTCCAGATCAAGCCTGCTCACAGGACATGAACCCAGAACTTTTCCCACGTGAGAATAGTCGCATTACTGCTGTGTCACTACCTGGCCTTCATTCTTCCTCTTCTTCACCATCTATTATCGTTACTTTTTGACAAGTTGTCATGAAAAAGTACCAGGATTACATTTATTGGTTTCTCCATATCATATTTCACAATCTTATGTTTTTCCCAGACAACTGTTTTACTAGGACTGTTACTTTCCACAGATGCGCACCACGCGAAGGCCTGTCTCTGCATCACCTACCTCCGATGATGGCCGAGTTCCTGTTGACTCCGTTTCTTATAGCTTGGCCTTGTCCTGGGTTATATGGAAAGTCAGCGCTGGCTGTGTAGGAGGGAACAGAGTCAAGTGTGAGAGTCAGGTACACCACTGAGCCCAGGCACTTTGATTCCAGTATCTTCAGACAGCTCTTCAACACCTCCTGTTTTCCCAAACGAAATCCCCATTTCCCATGGACCATCTCACTGTGGCTTCCCATGAGGGTCACAGTGACCTCCATCCCTGTGCCTGCTCCTCTTTGCACAGGGCCTAGATTGACACTCTTGTGCATTTAAAGGATTAGTGGAAGCTCCTAGAGCTACCTGAGCTGGCTGCTCCAGTGCTCCTGACAGACATGCTTACTTTTTACAGTATCTTTTTTTACATGTGACTAAAATGTGCCTCTCACCCAATTTTATCCCATTTACAACTGGTAATATTGGATATATTTGTAGATGAGCTTTTTACAGCTTACAGATTAGCTTAAATAGTAATCATCTCTGGAGCCAACAGGTGGCATAGTGGTTAAGGTGTTGAACTCCTACAGGGCCGACTGCTGTTCGAGTCCTGGACCTGTGGCTTAAAAAAATTACAACAGGCATGTGTGTGTGCATGCACAAAATCCCAGGAGCATGGAAGAGAAGGTAATTGGAGTGTGGTCATCCACCACGGGGTCGGGGGATTTCTCATTTTCCCTTTCACTGTCTCTGTCTTTCTCTGGCGAGTGTATGCACCCTACAGTAAAAACCTTTTTTTTAAAAAAGTAATCACATCTTTAAACTAAAATTTTACATGGTTCTAATAAAACACTTATTAACTAATCAATTTTCTATTTCTTTCCACATTACAAAAAATGAGAATCAGTTGTATTAAAGTTAGGTGTTTCTCTAAATAAAACAAATTTGAAGCCCAGGAAAAGAAAATAGATACTGACACCTCTATAGACCAGCAGAATATCTATTATAATCCAAATAAGCGAATTCAACTTCAAATATTAGTCTATGTTTTTTTCAGACTTCTGAGTGAGAAGTTAGGGGAAATCTCCCAGTAAAAATAGTTTTCCCTAGGAGGAGATCACCTGCGGCTGAAGCAGAGCTATCGCTGTTGAACGGCATCAAATAAATGTAAGAAATCTGCTACAGAGTTATTTGGTGTGATCACATGTGTACACACTATGGAAACAGGTTTGTTAAGATTCAGGGAGAACTATGCCAAGTCCCCAGTTTTCTAAGGCTAATTTGGTCTCAGGATACAGACTTCCAAGGTCTCTTGGATAATGATGAAATAGTAGGTGGAGTCCTTTAAAGGAAGATCCTAGCTTCTGCCAGCAGATGTGATTTAATTCTTTGTCTTGTAGGACCTAGAAAATGATCATCTCAGCTATCAGTGCCATTCAAACCTGTTGACTGATTGAAACTACAGACACTAAGAAAGGTACACATAAAAGAATGTAACGCCGAGTGTTCAGGACTCTCCATCTTCTAAGTCTTTAACCAGTGGATGTAAAGGAGCCCTTCGGTGCCATTTGCTTGCCTTAACTGGTCCAGTCCTAATCTGTTATTAGAAAGGTAAGGAAATGGCAGAACCAATACTACGCAGCATACCCTAGTTAGCAACTTTCCCACGAACTCCCTTTCCCTTTCCCCTTCATTATTTTCCGGGGGTAGATAGAATGGATTAATACTCAAAATTCCAAATGTCAGCCCCAGTATGTGAAGATCCTTCATTTACAAGCCTGTCACCTAATATTAGACTGATCATAAAATTATGTGAATAAAGCGGAGTTACATAAAAACACACGATGGGAGGGGAACCTTAGGTTTCTTCGCTTCAGAGTATTATTAGCAGATGTGACAAATTCATTCACCAAACCATTTTGGAATGCCTATGATACGTCCGACTCAGTTCTGAGGGCTAGAGATACACAGTGAACAACAAAATAGGCAAATACTGTTATCAGTAAAAACTTCCTGGAACTACACGATCTATTTATTCCGCACACCCCGTTGAAAAATTTGGTTTATGGAGTCAGAGTACTAATCTCAAGCATGAATGTGATTTGAATTATGAACTTATTTATTTACAGTGAATTGCCCTGAATTTTTTTGTAGCTGCCACATGATAAATCATACAACTCACAGAACCTTAAGTATAGGAAGATTTAGTTATTAATGCACATCATTCCCTGATGTGATGAAAGTTTTACCTTTACTGCCCAGTCTTTGCATCTTTTCCAGGCCTTTTGACATAATTATGCTTTTCTGGACACTACTTAGTCCATATTCTTCTAAAATGTTATCAAGCTTGTAAGTGATCTCTCTGGAATTAGACCCCAGGTAGGGTCAATTCCGAAGTTAATTATTCCTTATCCTGCCTTTCGAATAAGGATGGCAAGAGACAGACTGGTGAGCTGTGGAGGAGGTCAGCTTTCAGCAGTTTGGCCTGGGTGGAGCCTACAGGAGAAGGGCCCTTTTAGGGGTGGGGAGGGAAATCTGTTCTGTTTTGAACATACTGAGTTGAGGTACCTATAGGATTCTCAGGCGGAGATATCTTCTAGCCATTTGGATATTTAGTCAGTGAGTCATAGTTCTTGTCTTCTTTTGATAAATATAGAAGGTTCCTGACTTTCTTTAAATACTCTAAGCCTTCAAAATAAATTAAGTATGGTATGAGGGCAGCAGGTGGTGTGGTAGTTAAGAGTGCTGGACTCCCACATGGCTGACCATGGTTCGAGTCCCAGACTGGCAGGTTACTTCCTCTCTCTCTCTCACGCACACACACACACACACACTGTCCCTCTCTGTCAAATTAAAATAAATAAAGTTAAATAAAATAATTATTTTAAAAAATTACGTATGCTGACAGAAAGTTATGATGGTAATTTTGTTATTATTTTACTGTGTAATATTCATGGTACTATGAAATGGTTTGCTTTTCCGGCTCAAATGTGGCTGGTAGACTGGAACATGGCTCACTATGCTCCCAAGTCTGCCTATGCTGTTGTATCTTTGTCCACAAAAACTTCAGATGCTAAGAGACAGTGGTAGGTCTCTTCCTGGTTCCCCTGGCGTTACTGACATAAACAGTAGTGGATGATGTAAGAGCAATGGAAGAAGTAACCTGAGATTACCAAGGAAAATACACACGGGCTAGAAGAGAACATTTAAAAACTTCTCAGGATTGTCTTCAGTATAAATCTGAACTCCTTGGTGTAGGAAAAACCTCATTGTCATTAAATTTCTGTCCTGCCTCTTCTCTCATGGGGGTGATTTTCTTTCTTTCTTTTCTTTTCACTTTAAATTTATTTGTTTGTATTCATTCACTGTACATCACTACAGTATATAAAATGAGACTTTCCTTCCAGAATACATTGTATATTGGCTCAATCAAGGATATTACCGTACGTGTTATTGCCCACAAATTACTTTCCATTTCTTGTTTCTTATATATTTTGTCCCTTCCTCCCCCCTCGATTCCCTACCTGTCCCCCTCTGCCATTTCCTATCCCTCTTCCACACTGTCTCAGGTATCTATATGCCTTTCCCCCCATTTTATTGATTGACAAAAGATCTTAATTACTCTAAATACTTTCAATAGCTAGTGCTAATATATACATATCTTTGAACACATGTCTGACTTTAGGCAGAAACCTAAGTGAGTAGAATGAACACACTGTAAAGTAGAACCTATCTGGGGTTATATAGCTTACTGAAGTCACTAAATAGGTATTTTTTAATATATTTTTTTTGTTTTAATAGATCAAAATAAAAAAAAAATGTTGGGGACCAGCAAGTGGTGTGGAGGGTAAGGCACTGGACACTCCCACATGGCTGACTACGGTTTGAGTCCCGAACCCGGAGACTTGCTTTCTCTCTCTGTCTCTCTCTGTGTCTTTCTCTGGTCAAATTAAAAAAAAAAATGAAATGAATAAATAAAAATTAAATAAAAATAATTCTTTAAAAAGTAAAAATTTAAAAAAATGTTAAGAGAAATATACTTAAGACTTAGACCTAGGAAAAAGGTTAGGATTCAGTTCAAACACGTAGGTAGATGAACCTATCAATAGTTCAAGAAAAGACAAAAATCCTTAAATCTGGAAAAAGAAGCATAGAAGAAAATCAGTAATGTTTTAGTCAAAAGTCATAAAATTCTATTTCACCAGTTCAGTCTCATGTAATTAATCTCTTTTTTGTTAAATTTGCAGTGGGTGGGGGTGTAATTTTATGACCCAACATTCTAGGTACACTGCTACCCAGTGCTTCAAGGTAATGCTGTTGCTTAACTTGTTCTGTTCTCTGTCTGGACATCTGGTTTACCTTTTCTCTCTTTGTCTATCAGATTGTACCTCTTCCATGAAAGTATCCCAGCCATGTCAGAGTAGGTGGCTAGCACTCTTTTCAGTGGCTGTAATCTTAATTCTTGTTTCCTTTTTTTTTTTTTTTTGAGAGAGATTTTTGCTATAGGGAGCAAACATGTGCTAGCTGGAGAGATAGAGATGGAAAGTGAGAAATCACTCCCCGCAGGGACGGCCATGCCACAGTGCCTTTTCTTCCATTCTCCTCTTGGGATTTTGGGCACGCATGCACATGAGGCCAGTGTGAGTTTGAAGTCGCTGGGTCTGATACTTGAACCATGGTTGACTATGCGGGAGTCCAGTGTCATAACCATTATGCTGTCTGCAGGTCCCTGTCACTCAAATCATAATTGTCTTAATGGCAGGGACCAGTCTTAATTATAGGCATAGTGAGTTTGAGATGCCTATAGGACTCCCAGGTAGAGTATCTTTCAAAGACTAATATAATAATGCAGTAGCAAGAATGAAATGGTGTTCATTGGCTGGTGTAATTAAAATCAGTCCATTAGGAAGTGTGCAAACATTTATGTATCATCTTCTAATAATAAAGTCTCCCATGCAGGTATAAATTTGAAAGTTAGTCACTGACTCTCAACTAAATCCTTTAAACAAGGCAGCATTCTTATTCTCCTCAACAGAAAAGAGAATATATTGAATAAGAAAATATAGTAATGATTCCTTGTCCACTAGACTTTCATTATTGTTCATAAAC